TAACAATAACAACAACAACAACAAAAAACTCTAGACCTAGACTAAAGGAACCTGGACTAAGGTAGTAGGATAGTTGCTGACTACAAGTAATACATGGTGTCTCAAAAGTCTTAGTTATCAAGAGCCTTAAATTTTTTATAAATCTTATGGGGTGTTTTTTTGAGCTTTAGCAGTTCAAAACTGCGCTAATATTTTTGGGACAGCATAGACAATGTTTTAAATTACCTATAATTTGTCACTGGTGAGTTGAGGAGTGATCAGAGGAGAGCAACTAAAGGATTTGTAATTATACAAGGATCAGTTAAGAAATTTTGGATGTTTAGCCTGGTTAAGAATTCAAAGACAACATTTGGAGATGTCTTGAAGTTTTTTATCGGACTGTTATATGAAAAGGGGATGAAGTGCTTACTCTATTTGTCTCTAGAAGAAAGAATTGAGAGCAATGAATGGGAATTGAAAAGGAATTTGCGGCAAGAAAACTTTCAGATATTGTGGAATGAGCTGCTTTAAGATGAAGTATGCTTTTCTTCACTGGAAGTCTTCAAGCAAAGGCTACTTGATCAATTATGAATAATCTTCTGGAAGAAAATTTTGTTCAAGTATAAGTTGGGCCTCCGAGGCATCTTCTAATGGTGAGATTCTTGAGCCCCAGAACTAGATATTCTCAAAGGTCTATTGCAGTTTGAACAATGTCTGAATCTAAGTGTTAAATGGTTTGTTTAGACAACAAATGATCTGGGACTTCAGTAGAAGAGATCACTCATAATGAGAATAATTAATGATAATAATAACTAATATTATATATCTTTTTACCAACAGAAGTGTTTTACCTATGTTATCTCACCGAGACTTCACAACAAACTTATCATGTAGGTACCATATGTATTCTTACCCCTGTTTTAAAAGTGAGAAAACTAAATGCCAGAGAGGTAATGTAACTTTGCCTCTATAGGTATTAGTGGGGGAGGCAAACAAATCAGAATATTGTGTAAATGTAATGATCAAGCTTGGCTTTGAAGAAGAGAGGGCAAAATGACCTTCCCACTCTTCTTTACAAGCTGAGGAAAAATGCGTATAGAAATATATATATATATATATATATACACACACGTACATATACATATACACACATGCATATACACACATACACACATATATACATACATACATACATATATATGTGTATATATATATATATATATATATATATATATATGGAGAGAGAGAGAGAGAGAGAGAGAGAGAGAGAGAGAGAGAGAGAGAGAGAGAGAGAGAGAGACTCAGTTGGCATGTTGGTTAGTTTTGCTGAACTGCTTCTCTCTCTTTGTCTCTGTCTCTTTTTCTTCTTTGTTTCAAGGTGTGATTCTTTAAGGAAGGAAAGGAGGGAGGAATTTATGCCTCTTTCTCTCCACTCACACAGCTAGTAACCTAATTCAGGCCCTTGTCACCTATCTGCTGAACCATTGCAATAATCTGCTGTTTGGTGTCCCTATCCTAAATTTCTCCTCACTCTAATCCATCCTTTACTCAACTGCCTAAGTGATTTTCTAAAGCATAAGTCTAACCATATTATCCCCTACTGAATAAACTCCATTGGCTCCCTATTACCTCTGGGATCAACAAGAAATACCCTCAGCACTTAAAGTTCATTATAACTTAGTTCCTTCCTACTGCTCCATTCTTCTTTTGCTGTACTTCCCTCCACACAGTCTATGATTCAGGTATGATATTTTACTTACTATTCCTCACACAGCACACTCTATCTTTCACCTCTATGTCTTTTCACTGGTTGTTCCCATGCCTGGAATACTCTCACTCCTCACCTATAACTCTAGTTTTCCTGCCTTTAAGTCTCAGTTCAAATTCTACCATCTGTAGCAGGCCTTCCCTTCTGGGATTTCCTCCCATCTCATTTGTATATATCTTACTTGTATGTAGTAAGTTATAAGTTATCTCCTTCATTAGAATGTAAGCTCCTGGGAGGCAGAGCCAAGATGGCAAAGTAGAGAAGCAATATAGCCCAACTCTTCCAACATTCCCCTCCAAACAACTTTAAAATAATACCCCAAATCAAATTCTGGAGTGGCACAGCCAACAAAAGGTAAAGGTGAAACATTTTTCCAGCCAAAGACAACTTAGGAGGTTGGAATGAGAAGTCTATGACACAGGGGTGCAGGCTGGCTCTGAGTGCAAGTGGCTGCAACACCAGCTATATGTAGTGGCAACTTTGGGGGATCTCAACCAGGAGACAATAAGGGTATTGGACATCTGGGTCAGAAAGAGATTATAAAGGAACCCAGGATAGGCACACAGGATGAGACACTGTTTGACTGCTCCATTTCCCATATGTAGTTCCAGGTCACAGTTCCAAGATAAAGCAGAATGCATGCAGTTGCAAGGGAGCAGGGGCCCTTGAAGCAGTTCCAGGGCAGAAAAAATTGATAGTAGTCGTAGCTACAAGGTAGCAGGAATTCTTCTTGCAAAAGAACCTGGAGAGCAGTGATTGTATGACTCTCTGGATCACACCACTTTGGAAGAACCAAAAACTTACAGATCCCCAGAATCAGCTATGAAAATATAAGTGTATAAAAGCCTGAAGCTTGAAGCAGTACTCCACCAACCCAACGTGAGTAGACTCTTTAATGTAAAGTTAAGAGTCAAGAAATAGAGTAGAAAAAATGAGCAAACAGCAACAACAGCAAACAAAAATCTGACAATAAAAGGCTGCTATGGTGACACAGAAGATCAAGATGCAAATTCAGAAGACAATAATGTCAAAACATCTATAAGCAAAGCCTCAAAGAGAAATGTAAATTGGACACAAGCCCAAAAAGAATTCCTGGAAAAGCTAAAAAAATCTGGAACAGCAAAAAAAAAAAGATAAAAAAACGAATAAAGGTGGTAGAGGAAAATTGGAAAAAGAAATGAGAGAGATGCAAATGAGGTGAAAATTCTAAAGAAAATAACACCTTATAAAACAAAATGAGCTAAATAGTAAAAGAGGCACAAAAATTAACTGACAGAAATAACTCCTTAAAAACAGAATTTGCCAAATGGAAAAAGAGATACCAAAGTTCACTGAAAAAAAATAATTCCTTAAAAATTAAAATTGGATAAATGGAAGCTAATTACAGTATGAGACTTCAAGAAACAATAAAACAAAGTCAAAAGGATGGTAAAATAGAAGAAAACATGAAATATCTCATCAGAAAAACAACTAACTTGAAAAATAGACTGAGGAAAGATAATTTAAAAATTATTGGAATACCTGAAAACAAATCTTAAACATTATATTTCAGTTAAAAGCCACATTGAAATACCTTGTTTCTAATAGCCTGCATTCTTACAGGTTTTTAGCAGCATATCCAATACATGCAATAATCTGGAATTTATTATTATCCCTAGTGTGTATTTTATCTGAATCCAGGAGAGGTTGGCTTTTAGACTGGGTACCCCCCTTTCTGGGAAAGGATCTCAGTCTTTCGAAAAATCAATAGAAATTAATTTCTAATCTCATATGACTTTGACTTTCTGGATATTTGCTACTGAAAAAATGGGTTTCTTTAAATACACAAGGCAGAGATTAGCAGCCTGGTCATTCCACCTCACAAATTTTGGTCAGAATTTCTCATTTCTCATTCTCCTTTTTATTCTTCATTTTCCTCACTGTGGCATAACAGTTGTCTAACTTGTTCCAATTCTGTGGAAAGACTGTCAAATAAAGAGGGAGGGTGTGAATCTAGCCCAATATAGATGCATTCCAATATATACTTTGACATTAAAGTGCTTTACACATTCCAGTTATTGTCATTTCTCTCTTCACTTCCAACCCGTTCCCCTTGTATCCAAATCTTTTTTCTCTCTCCTGATTTCTTTGTTGTTCCTCTTGATTTGTATTGGCTCATCAAGCAGGTTTAGTCTGAGCTTACAATTCTTCTGTATAGCTGGTGATGAACTGACACAAGGGCTAGGAGATAGTTTTGTTAGAAAGAGAGATACTTGAGATGAACTTGACCCATATGTGGTCCATTTGTTTATACTTAGATCTGACACTAGCTATGAGACTAAAGGAAATCATGAAACCATTCTGAGCCTCGTTTTCCCATAAAAGAAAAAAAAACAATAAAAGGGAGATAATACCTGTAGTGCTTACCTTGTGAGAAATGAGATGCTATAAAGGAAGGAAGGTTGGCTGGCCTTAAATCAAGAAGACCTAGGTTTAAGTCCTGATTCTGACATATCGATTGTGTGACCATGGACAAGTCACTCAGCCTTTCAGTGTCCTAGGCAACTCTTTAAGATTAAAAATAATATATGAGATATGAGCCACATTAGTGAGAGTTCCTTCCCTGAATGAAATAACAGTCTACTTTTCCCCCTCCTCCAAAAAAATTCCTACCTCATAGAGTCATTGTGAGATTAAAATGAGTTAATGTGTGTAAAATACTTGGCAAACCTGAAAACTCTATGTAAATATCAGTTATTAGTATAACTCCTTCCCAATATTACAAAAAATACTCCTTTTCTTAAAATCATAAAGTTATGAGTACCTATATAGTCTGGTAGAAGGACTAGTAGGCAAAGAGTCAGGAGTTCTAAAAAATCTAGCTCTGCCTTTGGTTCACACTAGTTATATCACTTTGGACAAATCAACCTGCCTCTTTAGGCCTAGATTTCTTTGAAGGGAATTTGGGACTCAAAATTTAAAAAGAAAAATATTAAAAATAAAAAATAACATTTTTAAAAAAGAAAAAAATGCTCTCTGTGTCAGTTCAAATAATAATTTAATTACTGACATTTATATGAAGCTATAAAGTTTATTTTTACCAGTTTTAGTAGTACTATTAATAAAAATATAGACAAGCGTACTGAGGCCCCAAGAGGTGGACTGACTCATCACAAGTCATACAGCTAGTATGTGCCAAGGACAGAGGCAGAGTTCTCAAAACTCTTGACTCCCAGACCACGACTTTTTTCTTTTAGTTGAGAATGCTACTCACATCTGCTTGATTCCAAGACATGTATTCTTTTTTGATGCATGTATTTAATAGGTCATCACAATCTCAGAAGAGTGGAAATTGTAGGTGCTAAACAGGACAAGGAAAAGAACATATAGTTAATCACTAGATCAATAAGCCTATGTGAAGCATTTACTATGGAGACACCAGAGGGTATCTATCATAGGGACCTTTTGTTATATGCAGTTTAATGCAAAGTGGAGTAGGCAGAGACCCAATTTCTGCACTCTATAAAGAAATGTGTTGGAAGGAGTTTGTGACTACACCATCCAGTTTTCAATCAGAGGGGAGAGGAGGTCAACCTATACCTAGAAAAGAATGCTTTCTATGATATCCCCATTAAGTGATCATCCAGCCCCTGCTTAAAGATCTCCCAGGTCACCTATTGCTATTTTGGATGACCTTGATATTGCCAATTCACAAGTTTATTGGAAAGAAAGCATATTAAAAATCTTATTATGCTACATAAATACAAATTGATGTTTGGTAGATCAGTACATTTCTCTAAAAAACACAGGAAGATTCTCTATATGTTGGCTAGATCATCTATAGATGATTTACAGAAAGGTATGAACAAGATGGACATGGGATGAGAAGGTGTATTGGGATTGTGATATACACACACACACAGAGTTGTGTGTGTATATATATATGTATATATCACATAATATATAGATATATACACATACATACATATATGTATGTGTATATGTATATGTGTATGTATATGTATATGTACATATCTGTGGAGGGAATAGCCACAGATCATAAGTCCATCAAAGCACAGGAATTACATTTTAAAACAGTATATTTTATTGTCTTGCCTTTTACCAGTCATTTCTGGAGGAAGACTCTATACCACCTCCCACTGAAACCACTCTTGAAACAACAACAAACAAAGTAAAAACACACAATATAGTGACGCCATATGACAAAGTATATATTTTGTTCTAGTATTCCCTTGGATTGCTGCTGTGAGGAGAAAATATGGCTATTTCTTTATCTGTTCTCTGGGACCATCATTAATAACTCATAGTTCACCTTTCATAAGTTTTTTTTTCATTTACAGCGTTGTTGTCATTCTGTATATTGTTCATTTGGTTCGTCTTACAGTATTCTGCATCAGTTCAAATAATGTCAATAAGACAGTCAATATGCATTTATTATGTACTTACTATATGCCAAGTGCTGGAGATACAAATACGAAAGTGAAGACAGTCCTTGATCTTAGGAAGTAGTAGGGGGAAACAACACCTTTAGGGGAGCAGTGGCCAGGAATGGGGCGTTTTGATACTGGAAATTGTAGCATGGGGAATAGGGGTATTCCCCATAGGGAAATAGATTGGCACACCCTTTCCAATAGCAATGGAAACATTGATTTGAGTAGTTTGAGAACTGGAAGGAAGATAGAGGTTGGAGAGAAGGGTACACATTCACCTCAGAATGGCTGGTGAAAAACAATTCAAAGAATCTCTAATGAGAAATGCTATCAACTTCCAGAGAGAGAGAACTGATGGACTCTGAGTGCAGACTGAAGTATATTTTTTCACTTTATTTTTCTCTTTTTTTTGCAATGGGGCTAATGTGAAAATGTGCTTTGTGTGACTTCACATTTATAATTGATGTCATATTGCTTGTCTTCTCAGTGGGTGGGAGAGAGATGGGAGAAAAAGGATTTGGAACTCAAAATTTTTTTAAAAATGCTAAAAATAAAAAAAAAAGAATGGCTGGTGAAAAGATGGCTAGGGACTAAAGTGAAGCATGGTGGGGCCCAAGCACAGATGTAGTTGTCAACTGAGGCAATTGGCAATTGGTGCAGCAGGGCCTCAGAGCAGGGGTTTCCAGAGTTGGAAAGATGAAGTCCTCTGGGACGTGGTTTCTTTTCCAGGAGGAAAAGTGGATAACAAGATAACTGTAGTTTGGGAAGACAGGCGGTGATCAAATTATGAAAGGCTTTAATTGCTCAACAGGAGTTTATGTTTTATCCTAATGGCAATAGGGAGCCACAGAAACTTTTTGAGCATGTGAAACATGTGGCAACACAGTGTGGTGGATTGAGTAGAATGCTGGAATTGGGAAGAGTTGGGTTAAAATCCTGACACAGATACGTATTAGCTTTGTGTGTTCTTCCTTACTGACAGGGTCATAGAAGAGTACTATAGAAGAGATCAGTGGGAGCTTTGCTACAAGATTATGGTGCTAGGAAGTCATACAATCACACATATGAGTAGAGAGGGACTTTTAAGGTAATCTAGTCCAACACTCTTATTTTGGAGATGAGGAGACCAGAAAAATCCAGTAATTTGCCCAAAGTCATAGAGATGGTGAGTAACAAAGGCAGGATTCAAACCCAGGTCCTATGGCTCTAAGTTCAGTCTTCTTACAGTATGCTGGTTATCACCTCAACTGACTTAGGCTGTAGCGGTTGCAGGGAGTTCCTTGAACCTTTCTGAGAGGTTAGGCCCAAATGAATTAGGACCACTCTAAGCTTCTAGTATGACCACCATAACAAGGAATTAAGTAAGTAACAACTGGAAGAAAAATGATACCTTAGAACTAAGAAAGGAAGAAGTGAGATGGACCCTGTCTCGGTCTGCATTTCTGAAAGTTGTCAAGGGTGAGGCATCCATTTAACTAGATAGCTCTAAGACAGAGGTGAAGAATCTGTGGCCTCTAGGTCTTCAAGGGTGGTACTTTGGCTGAATCCAGATACAGATGGATTCAGTCAAAAGACTGCACTTTGCTCTAAAATATCCCTTAGGAGGCAGAGTGAGGGCCTAGGAAACTGTCTTCACATGTACACATCACTTCTTTTTTCCAGAGGCTTAGTTGAGAGGCTCTGTTGAGAAATGATGTCAGGGAACCAAGAGAAAAGTCAAGTCCAAGAGGATTTGATAAGAACTTACTATGTGCCCAGGTACTGTTCAAGGTGCTAAGGGAACAACAAAAGGCAAAAATACTGCCCCTACCCTTAAAACCTTAAATTATAAGAGCAAGATAGCATGTCAATAACTAGAGCATTTTGGATGATGTGATTAGCCAATGCAAAGATGGATGGAAGATAAAAAGTTAGGGGAATATGGGTTACCAGGCTTATAGGTCAAGTCAAGTAAATAAGCATTCATTAAGTGCCTACTATGTACGGGAACAGTGCTAAGCACTGGCAAGATGCCTGGCACATGGTTGGTACTTAATAAATATTTATTGATTGATTTACGTCAAGTGGTAATATGGGCAGTGGGTCCATGGTGTATCTTGGAGGAGGTAGGGGTGGTATAGATGTCCATGCCCATGTCCAAGGAGCAATTAGGAAAAAATAATTTCTTGTTCCACATTTCAGATTAAGGTATTTTACTGAGGCAACTCTGGATGGAGGCTACTTTCTGAGTCTTCTATGCTGAGCAGATTGTCAATCAATCAATAAGCCTTTATGAAGTGCCTGCCATGAATCAAGTCTTGTGCTAGGCTCTAGAGATGCAAAGTCTGAAGGGAAAATGTCCTTGCTTCAGGGAGATTAACTTCTATTGATGTAAACTCAAAACTTTCCAGGGATTAGGATCTCACTGAGATCCCTGAGTTGCAGCAACTTACCAGACCCCTAAGCTTTTCCCCTCCCTGAGTTTTGGTGTTCTCATCTGTCAATGAGGATAATAGTACCTGCTTCATATACCCTTACCTAATTTTGACAGTAATATTGCAGGATACAAAAAAAAATGTTATGAGAATCCTTTTATTCTATATAAAAGTATAATATTAAAAATGATTCAAAGTATAAGTCCTACTGACAGTGAATAAGTAGAATCATCCTCATCAAGCCAGAATAATGTGTTGTGTCTAAGTTCTCAGACTGTTTAAACCAGCCGGCACCACTTGGGTCCTTGAGGCCACAGGTTCTCCACCCTTGTTTTAGAGCTATATAGTTAAATGGAGGCCTCACCCTTTATGACTTTCAGACATGCAGACCAAGACAGAGTCCATTTCACTTATTCCTTTCTAGAGCATCATTGTTCTCCCTAGCGCGCAGATAGAACACCGGGCCTAGAATCAGGAAGAACTGAGTTCAAATCCAGTCTTAGGCATTTACTAGTTGTGTGACCTTGGGCAAGTCACTTAACCTCTGTTTGCCTCAGTGCCCCCGTCTATAAAATATCAAATGAGATAATGAATGGTGCTTAACACATTGTAGGTGCTGTTTAAATGCTTATGCCTTCTTTTCTACCCTTGCTTGTCTTTATATAGCAGATCAGAGAGTAGGGTAGAGGTGAAAGTGGGGAAATCAGTGGATATGGAGTAAAAACCTCAATTTTGCCATTTAGTAGCTGCATGACACTGGACAAATCATTTTCCTTCTCTTTGTTTTAACATCCTCATATGGAAAATGAGGTGGTCTGACTAGATCAGTGGAAACCAAATGTTTTGTTCTACATGCTTAAAAATTATCGAGGACCCAAAAGGGTTTAGGTGTGTCATATCCAAGGGGATGCTGGTAAATGTTTAACAACTGGCTCTCCAGAAAAACAAACAAATAGCCAGGGACACAGTTTTATTATACATTTTCTAGATTACTTTCTTAAGTCCAGACAATCAACAGAATAATAAATCAAAACCTGATTTGTAGGCTTTTATAATTTCTGAGATATAAATGTTCAGACTGCAAATTTAACAATTGGCTAGAGGTGGTACAAGCTGGTTCTAGCACACTTCTGGATAGCCATCAATATTTACCATATTAAAAATTAATAAAATTTAATATTTACCTATTCATCTATTTAGGATAACAAACCCATTACGTATTAACACAATAATTTATTTTCATGAAAAATAATTGAATTTTCAAAAAAAGATTAATAGGAAGGGTGGTATTGTTTTACACATTTTTTTTTTTGCAAATCTCTTTAATATCTGGCTTAATAGAACATAGCTACATTCTCATATCTGCTTCTGTATTCAATCTATTGGAATATGTTATTTTGCTTGAAGTATATGAAGAAAATGTATTCTTACACAGATATGTATATTTGGGAAAAGGAGTATTTTAATAGGTAAATTATATCTTATTGTTATTATGA